AATTGCGCGAAGGCGCTGAATTGCACGAAGGCGCTAGGCCGATTCACGGGTCATTAAAACCAATCACAACAGCATTTGTCATGTGTTGGATTGAACTAACATTTCTCGAGTGCACTCATACTGAATATCGTGTCATACACTCCAAGCTTTGAAAAAGGTCAGGCATTGAACAGCCGATATTTTACGGGAGATTTGTCCCCCTGCTGTGGGCTAGCTGTTCCAAAACAGCCTGTCTCTGTCGGGTTATCTATGAGCCGTATCGAGATCCCATCAAATAAGAGCTCCATTACACTTTATCGTGCTTCTTGATCTTCCAGAGAAGTGGGGAAATCGATGCCAAGAGGGTCCGTTACTGTTGACAGTTAAGTTTATTTTAGCACTAACAGTCCCAAATACTCTGATTTCAGTATGATTTTGCATACACCCAGTGGGTAAGGATTAAATACTTTGCTACTATTTTTGCTTGGCTGCTTACCAAACCTAGTAAGCAGAAACTTTCTTTGACAGCGCCGCAGCATCCCAGAATTCCTATGGCCATGATGACGGCCCCAGCGGCCATGAGAGCATAGGTGCCGATGTTGTAGGCGGACACCGCCGAGACCGCGTCTTCGTCGCCAGAGGGCGACAGATTCGGGAAGAATTGCTGGCCGTAGCGGAGCCATAGTCCGAATCCGAGCATGGCAACACCGGCTAGCTGTAGAGTAAAACAACAGAAAAGCCGTTAAGAGAAAAAACGGACTCACAGATAGATTGCCCCTAACTTACTTGTATATAACACGAGCCCGTAGAAGCCGTTAAATAAACGACTTTATCCAATGTCCATTGAGGCGTAGCCAAGTATTTCAGATGAGGCCATATTTGTTGTGGTTTGCATGAACACATCTTGTTACCGCGCAGTAATTTACACTTAAGTCTGGTACCCAGATAAAACTTGTCAGCTGAAAGCCTGTCTTTCTTGTACAAACACTGACCGCCATTTTGTGTGGGCAGCGAAAGTCTGCTGAAAGTTAATCTTCAGTTGGCAGTAGCTTTCGCCTTAACATATGAATTTGTTCCGTTAGAGTTAAAGAGAGAGGTTTTCACAGAAGTATTAATATATCATTTAGTGGTTTATTAGCTGAATGTTGCTATTTTAACACTTTGTAATTTGTACATTGTCATTTTATTTAAAGTGACAGTCCACTATAACTGTGGCTGTGACGAAGCAGACGGGACTGAGGTCCATAGACATTAGGGTCACATGACCTGTCTAGTTCAGAAAAATGCCCAAATAAGTCACTGCACTGAATAAATAATTAGTAAAATGGTTGCAAACATCAAGTCCGTTGCTGACATAATTATTTGTGTTGCACATGCCTAAACGATAATATCGTTACGGTACATCTCAACAGCTAAAAAAATCTGAAAGGGCAAGGAACAAACAACTTGTCTTCTGCGCATTAGTTTAGCATAATTTATTCATGCTGACATAAACATTTCGATTTACAGAGTATGATTAGTATTATGATTTTCTTTCTTAAAAAAGACGATATGATTCCATCATCAAAAAATTGTTCCAAATGACTTCATTACAAATAACTTCGAGCAAAGAGGCCAACCGAAAATAGAGCATTGAGGAAAAAGTTCCGGCAATCACTCACTGACCGCAAGACCCCCAGGCCGTCTGAATGCAGCAAAGTCCCCACTAATAGCCGGCTTGATACCCGGTGAGAGACACCAGCAACTCGTAAATTAAAAACCCCCAAGAAAGTATTTAAGCTAGATAAGAGGTCTTTGATATTAAAATACGCAGGATATTGCGTGCATTATTTCTTCTTGTAATAAAGACGGCAAAGTATATCAAGTTGGTTATTAATTGAGTGATGTAAAGGCAAAAATCCAATTTCACGGATACAATATTTTCTCAGAAGGGTTAGTATAATATTGACGCAGTATTCGGTCCTTTGGCCCAATTATGAAATAACCCTTGTAGTCCACAGTCCCACATTTTTAATTTACAACTCTTTGGGTTTTGATCACAGGTTGTAATAACAAGGATATGTTAATTTTTGTGTACTGATTTTAACCGAATACATTTCTACTCTGAAACGGTTTTGAATATGTAAAAAAAAATTTGATTTCGAGTAGTGACATATCAAGATTCTTTGGAAACTTCGTTTCTTGTACATGTATCTACATGGATTTGCGTGTTACAGCAGCACTGTATCGATGTCATTTCTATTCCCACATATTAGAAATGAGCTAACTAAACACTTACTAAATGGTTAAGCACTGTGTTAGCCTCAGTGACACAAAAGTTTCATCGAAATTTAACTTGCTCCTTGAAGTCGTGAAGTTGAATGATACTAAATTCCATCGTTGATAGCCTTAGCACTGCAGCCACTGACCCCAGAGATAAGCAAGTTGCTCCGATATATCGTGTAAATAACACAATTATAACTGGTTTCGGAGACAAAATATTCGATATTTCTGTGTTCAAAATGTCATCGTTGTAAAACAACAAGAACATGAATTTTTAAATGAAATCAATCAAATCTATATTTGGTTAAAACATAATCTGATTACATGAAAAAATTAACAATTTATGGAAATTTGTTTAACGCAGAAGTCTTGTTGATAAATTCTGTTCGATGCTACAACGCGAAAGATAAAAAACATTTTTTAACTTGGGACATCGCTCACTATTAATTTGGACTGGATAGCTCACAGCATTGAGTCATCCAGTTCAAGAGCTTCTTATTATATTTTTGAGGTGTATTTTCCAAGGTCTATTGTATCCTTTCGCCGAAGTGCAATCCACTTGCAGTTCGTCCACAAGATTAGGATTCGCAATTGAATTCAATAAACACGGCTCCTTTAATCTGAACCCGATCATTAATAAGATATTCTTCCAACTGCCGCAGGCCTGTAACAACGTCTGCAGCGGAGTCTATCAAATAATGCCAGCGACTATTCTATAGAGCACCCGTACCCTTAAGGACATGTCGGGATTTGTGGAATCATCGGTGCATATGATCACAGCAACTGCGTTGGGAACATTAGTCGGGTGGCTACATAACTTTATTACCGTCGCTCCAATAAATGGATTTTGGTTGGAGGCCACTTTTACAAAGATTTACACAGGCAGCTGTGAATCTGTTCTTGTATTCTTACACCAGAAAATGCTTTATAAAATAGAAATAGACTGATTCAAATATTATGTTGTGATTTGCTCGTGCCGATCTAGTCAAGCGTTCTTATTGGTTGCATATGTGCGCGCCAGGGTTGTGGCCCTTGAAGCGACCATTATGTCTTATTCTGCCAACATTTTGTACAACTCCCAATGATCGTGTGCGCTCGGGATATTCATAATGACTGGAACCAGCCTAATGCCAGACTTGATTTATAGGTTTATTACCAGTGCCACTCGTAAAGTTCAACTTCGAAATGTTCTACATGTGCATCATTCAATCAAGCAGGTGTTGTGTACGCTTACGCTTCGCTGCCACATGGAAAAGTGCGTGCAAATTAATTTTGATAACGACCATGCCGCATTAATTTCTAGATATGGCATGGTTCCAAAAATGGATCATGATCAACATAGAACATCGTCAGCACGCATGAGTTACACTGTAACATTCAGTAATATAATTACTCTTAAAGTGCAGCGAGACAGTTGCCATGGCTGCGCATCATTGACCTCCCATTATTGGCGTAACCACGACCCCTGACGACCCACAAAGGGAAACATCATCACAGCTGACTCGGTAATGAAAGTGGAAACGGGAAGCGCATGGCAAAACAGAGCATTGAGTGATACGATCTATGCGTTATACCACTACAGTAGATAGCAGGCACATTTGATGAAAGGGGTAAGCTCAATCACTAATGTACCCCTTACGCGTTTGCGTTCTGTCCTTTGTTTTGGCACTGATGACAAGAGAGTTCCGATGGAAATTTGGCTCTGATCAAATCAAAGTAGTTTTGTCCTATAGTGTGTCATAGGCCTGTAAACATGACACAAGTGATCATTAGTGCACAAAATCTTCGAATTAGATGTAGAATGTAGTGAATTACACTATACACTTTAAATCAAACACCCATTATGAATGCGTCTTTGCATTAATTGTAAACATATAACTGTTTAAAATCAAACGGTTTTTTTAAATAAATGTTTTTCGATGTTGAGGAAGTGTTACCATCCGATAAATGTGTTTTTGTGTCTTGTTATTAACACCCAAAATGCCTTGGTGTCTGAATTAATTTCATTCAAACATCAAGATGTCCGATTGTTGTTTAAAAATAAACACCACAACGTGCTTAGCTATGGATTATTAACACCACAACGTGCTCAGCTATGCATTTTTAATACCACAACGCGCTCATATGTGCTACCAGGAAAGCGTGTAAAAGGCGTTAAAATATTGACAATTGTTTTAAGGTGTATTGGTTTGCGGTTTTTTAAGCTGCATCACTCAGAAACCATTTATTCTCGATAAGTTCTTATCTCTTTATCAAAAATTACATTTCAGTTTACATTGAAAACCTTATGGGGAAATGGCTACCTTTAATAACCAACGTATTTCTATTCAGTATAAACGCGCCATAAGGGCATTACGAAATATGAGCCATTGCTATTGTTAAGTCAATGGGTCTTATGAATAAAAAGTAGCAGTTGTTTTTGCTACCATTTTTGAAGCATTTACTCATGTTTGTATTAATAATACATGTAATGAAGCAAGTGGTTTTACTTTAGTGCAGTTGCTGAAACATAAAAGTATTTACTTTTTACTTTAAGCTTGTGCTTGACAATAAGCAGTTGCTTCATTTTGTATGAATAAAATGAGTAAGTTCTACAGAATTGGAGTACATGTATTTCTTTGACTTTTTGCAAGACTAGTTCAGGGCAAGCTTGGAGACGAGGAGCATTTACTAATGTTCAAATTGGCAGCATTCACGAATGTCATTCGAAAGGAATAGCTGTATGCCTTCGGGGGGAATCTCAAGAAAACAGATGCAGGCAGTTGTACCGATTTAGAGTGGCAGAGCAATTTTCTTCATCAAGGTTTTTGCGATCAAATTACCGCCGTCGTGCTTATCTGCCATGCTGAGGTGTCCAAATACAGCAACGTGCTGCACTGTGTGCGTCTGTCCGTGCAACGGGAAAACCCTATTGTGCAAAACCATTCGGCTGTGCAGTCAGCCACAAGGATAAGGCATTTGCTAATATTTATGCTAGTAGATACTGAATAGTAAAGGAAACATTATATTCCTACAAATTCAAGCATTTGTTTATTCTTAATGGTTTTACTTCGCAGTAAATGCTTTTGCTGTTTGCTTGAACTTCATAGCATTTGCTAGTTTTTATTCATACGACCCAATGTCGACCCAAATAAATGGCGTCATCAGGCGCAGATCCAGGGGGTTAGGTATCGAACCCCCCCCCCATTCACTAAGATGAAAAATGGGGACAATGATAACAAATAATTAAAGTAACTTTAATTATTAGTAAACAAGATAGCATCCAGATTCTTCTGATGTGTACCCCAATACTATTGGAAATAATGTATGTAATGTTATGTTTCATCACTCTACTTGTCCGCACCGAGATGAGACATTAAAACAATCTCTGCCTTGACCCCTCTCCTGGAAAAAATTCTGGATCCGCCCCTAGTCATCCTGCCCATATAAGGTAGTACCTGGCCATGAATGAACGCTTGTAGAGCATGCCGGCTACATAGACATGTCTCACATTGTCCACTGCTCGTGTTGACGGACAACGTGCAGAAATAATGATCACCCTCAATTGCAGGTGTCAGATTTGACCTCCAAATGTGAGTTTACCCTATTACGTTTAATAAAGAGTCGAATTTTCATGTTGTATCTGGTACAAGTATTTATCATTAATTTTGGTGTTTCGATAGCTATTTGAGATATAGCATTTAGAATTCACTGTTCTTCTTTGATGACCACTCTCAGCCACTGGTAGGCAAAAACATGACCAGGACGTAGAAAGATCCGATCCTCTGGAAGTATCATTGTAGGTGTATCCAAACGCAGGTGTGAGTTTTCAGTGTGCTATTATGCTACTGACCTTTTTCCACATCTCGAAGCTGTCACGACAGTAGTGGTGACAGAACGCTCCTTGGTCAAAAGTTGAGCGTCTTGGGATGGGGATGGGTGCTTTGCTGTGGTGGTGATGGAGAAGGTCTAAACATCTCCAAGCAATGCTCAATTACAAACTGTACTTTCAATGTGGTTTTAAAGGGACTCTTGCTTGTTAATAAATGGGATATCAGAAACGCTTTGTATTCCTTAGCTACGTGTATGAAGGTACGCGTATACATCAGACAGCGAAGGATGCCCTTTAATTTAGAGCTTGGGGCTTAACAGCAGCTATCGTTAAATGCATTCAAATGAACTTGTCAAACTGTGTTTTCAAGATCTAAAACCTTTTTGCATTTTCCTTGGCTGTGGGTTTAATATAAGCTTCCTTAAATTGGTGGTTAAATAAAAACATGCCCCAAGACATGTCACATAACGGAGACAGTTCAGGTGAGCCCGTCATTAAATAGCGCGCGTCCAGCGCTTAAATTACGTGCCATGCAGACTTTACGACACACAATTGCTCACTGTAATAATGGCTACCTCCAGCCTGGTCAGTAGCTCCTCCCGTGTGAAATAACAGACTTATGATGCAAAGAGAGGGTTACCCAGGCTACCGATATTATGTGCTCCATATGTGAAGACGATTGTGAGGAGGGATGTAAAAGCATCGATCGATGCCCCAAGATAGCCCCGTCTTGACGTGATTAANTGTGTTTTAATATCACAGATTTACTGGGCAAATAATTACTAATGTTTTGGGTTAACGTTATTACGAACTTGGCCCAAATAGCTGGGAATACATAGGCTCTCTGTGTTGGGTCGGACACCAAATGACTTCAAAATACTACTCGTGACGCATACAAACAACTTGAGGAGAAAGGATGGATTACTTCCGTCCATTTTTTGTCCAAAATTTGAAACTGATTGTTGCATGCACTCAGACGCCTCTCTGATAATGGGTCGTATGAATAAAAACTAGAAAATGTAATGAAGTTTAAGGAAACAGCAAAAGCATTTACTGAGAAGTGAAATCATTCAGAATAAGCAATTGCTTGATTTTGTATGAATAAAATGTTTCTTTTACTGTTCAGCATCTGCTTGTACAAATAGTAGCAAATGCTTTATGCTTGTGGCTGACTTCACAGCAAAATGATTTTGCACAATAGGGCTTCCATTGTCTGCACGTACAGACACGCACGGTGCGATATCTTGAGACCTCAGCATGGCAGATAAGCACGATGGCAGTATTTTTGATCGCAAAAACCTTGATGAAGAAAATTGCTCTGCCACTCTCTAATCGGTACAACTGCCTGCATCTGTTTTCTTGAGATTCCCTCCTAAAGACATACAGCTTTTCCTTTCGAATGACATTCATGAACGCTGCCAGTTTGAACATTAGTAAATGCTTCTCGTTTTCAAGCTTGCCCTGACCCAGTCTTAAAAAATGTCAAGTAAATGCTCTAATTCTATAGAACTCACTCATTTTAATTCATACAAAATAAAGCAACTGCTTATTGTCAATCACAAGCTTAAATTAAAGAGTAAAAAGTAAATACTTTAACTTTTTAGCAATTGCACTAAAGTAAAAGCTTTTGCTTCATTATTATTCATACAAACATGAGCAAATGCTTCAAAAATGGTAGTAAAAGCAAACGCTACTTTTTATTCATAGGACCCAGTGATAATTCTGCATGACTTTTATGATACATTCTTTGCTGCAACAATGCAAGCGTTTTCTACGTATCATTACTTACTTTTGGAATTAAAGGTTAATTGTCGTTTCATGTTTGTGTCTGCAATACGTGAGGTTTTCTTATTAATGTCTTGTACTCCTGTCGTACCGCCTTTTGGGGCTTAATTTTAAGACATTTTAAGGTATTCAAATTCAAAGAGATTTCTCACTGATTACTTCTCTCACGCATTTCATGCCTACAAATTATAAAATGAAACAAAAAGATGGAAGGAATATCATTGTTCAGCGGATACCAACTTGCACAAAGCTACTTAGCACTTAAAGAGTTCATGCTATGAATTATATCTCAGACACACTTATGGTGCATTTTAATACTCTTCATCAAAGTATGAAAACTGTTTTAAATCCTTTGAGGTGAGAAAAGGCACTTTTTGAAACATTAAAATTTGTCCAAGCATTTCTGAACAAGTGAGGGCGCTGTTGCAGATGTAAATCAGGGAAAACACTGTCCAGTCTAAATGTTTTTATGCTCACATTTTTAAACTCAAAATTTGCACTTTGAAAACATTTCCCAGAGAACGTTGCCTGTTAACTTATTGCCTGGCAATAAATCACCAAAGAATCGGAAATTTATGTCAGCAAATTGAAATTTCCGTCAGTTTTTGTATGTATGTACACTGTAACATTGAGGTTCTGTGCCTGGGATGACATCACAGTTTTGCTCATGAATATGGAAATTAATAGGGTGAAAATAAACAAGGCTCCTTTTAAAAATATCAAAACAAATCATGATTAAAAATATAGGGTTGTTTGAAACAGAAAGGTGCTTTTTCCAGGGTTTTAAATGCAATTACTCAGCATAATGACCCAGATCGAGCACACTTTACTTCTTGTAGTTTATAACAGAGGGTTTCATGCCATATTAACTTTATTCTCAGGATATTATCAAATTTCATCTGGGCTTGGGGCGATTGTGTTACATTCTGACGGGTGATATCTTGTTCCAGATGTGCTCTCATTTCTCATTGTATCTGTCACCCGCCACTTGTGGTAATTTTTCTTCTTTTTGTAGGCCCTTACATTTAAAAAGTGCAGCGTCTTTCTTTATCTTCAGAATCGGTGGTTCATGCTCGTCTTCGGCCAACCCCCTGCTGGGAATGCGACAAATCCCTGGTATGCAGTGATGATTGTGAGTGATAGTACTACGTGCGAACCAGCGAGATTGTCCCGGTACTCAACGGTTATTGGTCGTAATGATGCTGCATGGGTCGACCGGAAAACCGTGTCCGTCTGATATTTAATGCTTTTTTTCGTCTGTCACCAACGCCCCTGAGATCCATTCAAAATTATCGAAGTTCCAAAATGTGGTTTGCTTTATTCAAAACTGGGACGAACGGGCAAGTTTAAAAAAACTGCAACTAAAACCTGGCATTGGCTGGTTAATTTTATTCAGCGTGCATGACGTCGTTTCTACAAGCCCTCACTGGAAAGATTTCGTTTGAAATTAACAAATTAAAACTAACGAATTAAATTTAATTGTTTTTAACGTATTTAAAGTAACAAGTTGGAATAGTAATGTTGGTATCTCCATATTGATGACAGCAAAGCTCGAACCACTGTCAAAATGTCCGAGGATAAAATCTTGTGCATATGTAATTACAAGTTTAAACAAAGACTGCTCAGGAGAATTTTACGATCTCTTCCTTTGCACAGATAGTTTACGGGCAGTTTCCCCATTTCATACCGTGACCAACCAAGTGGCATTCATTTTACCGGGACTAGCGCCAGGATTGAATCCCGTGGATGCCAACATTCCAGACACGTACTGGATGTTCGTGAGCCAGGTCGGCATGTGGTGAACATTCTTCTAATTTAAAGGTAAAATGTGGAAAGTCTTATTCTCTCCGTTGATTTATTATTCAAGAGCGGTGACTAACAATTATACAAATTACCAAGTTCTTAGTCTGAATTGCAAAACATTTGTCGAGAGGCGAAGGTTTATACTTCACGTACAAACATAAGCAATTTATTGAGAAGTTTGTAAAACATATAGCTGCTCCAACTTACACCCTAAAACCCTGTTCCCCTTCGGTCACGTCAAAAACGACCCTTTACCTGTGTTGATTAAAAACGAAAAAAATTGGGGCCTGAAGTCGCTGTTAAAAGCCAGTTTATTGCTTGCTGCGTTACGATCCGGCGCGCATTTGAGAAGTTGTTGAAACGTGAAAGCTAATTGTCAGATATGTTCGATCGACTTTCCTGTCCCTGAAGGATGTTGACATTTGATATTGCAGACGAACACACTCGTATAATTGTTAATGATTCCTATAAGATTAACAAATGAAACATTTGTACAGTCAAACTTTTGCGACGGAAAATGGATTCTATACTTTGCGGGAAAGGGTATATTGGGGAAAGTTTTTTTCTGGACGGAAAACTGAAAAGGTTTAGTTAAAATGTGGAACTGTATGCAAGGCCTACAACTCTTTTTTTTCTTGTTCCTCAAATTCTGAGTAAAGGAATCAAAGGGCACACCAATTGTGAGCAGGGGGGTTGCCCCTGTGACCCCTTTTAGCTCCGGCACTGTTTGGGCATTAGGCCTTTAGAGGGTTTGTGACATTAGGTCTATTTACGGTCACTAAAAATAAATCGGCATGTTCTTACCCAGAGTAGTGTGTTAAAGAACACCATCAGGCATCTCAGACACATCACACATCCCTCCTTGCCGCCCATCTCGTCAACTGTTTCTACTTGGTAGCGATGGCGCCTCCTGCTCGATGACTCAGCCCCGCCCACTCCTCCTCCTTCTCCGATGTCCTCTGCGTCGCCCGTCGAGTCGCGGCGCTGGTCCCGGTGGTTCCACACCCGTCGGACTTGGTTGATGGGTTTGGTCCGGGAAAGCGCGAGCACGAAATATTCCAGCGTGCGTCTGATGCGGCGGTGACTAGACCAAGGACGAGGTATGTGCTATACCTCGCGCCTGGATCACACCTGGTACTTTATACACCAATACTTAATTTTCAATCTACCAATCGTTCGTCGACTTTTTAATTTTTTTTCAAAAGGTTTGGAGGGAGAGGGTTCCAAGGCTGACAATAACGCAGGATGGGTCTGCAGCGTTCAACCCTAGAAATTTAAATTTATTGTCTCCCTGTCATCAAGGCGATCTCTTTCTCTCTTCTTCACTTTACTCGAAGTGCGAGCGATGAACAAATTCTGCTGCAGAAGCTGTAGCGAGAGAGCATGGCGCTATTGACATCGCTCGTTCGCTCCCCTTTCCCAGCTGGTCGGTGATGAAAGTCCTCCTCGTGCGCTGTCCAAGCGAACACTCTGAAGTAGCGAGCGGTCACTTTCCAGCGTCGGTACCCAAAATCAGTATTTAGATTCCCCCCAGTGAAGATGTGGATGACGTAGCTTTCTGTGGGATTATCACAGCGCCACCGTCATGCTGCTGACATCACTTCACAGTTCACGGCTTCATGCTCAGAAGATATTCGTGCCAGACCGCGCACCTGTGTCAATAGAGCGTTAGGCTAAGATGAAATTACCGCCCACCCAATTCTGTTGGCACGCACTTTAATTCTTTACAATTAAAAATCATTTCGAGAGTAAATTCACCCTAAGCATTCTGCTTGGAGCACCAAACAAGCTCGTAAATAGCAACGAACAAAATCTTTGTAGATACATCAACATGGATCCCTTTACATCAAAGCCGTTTTCCATTGATTTCCATATTTCTATAGAAGAAATAGTTGAAAGAGCCCGGCATCGTCATATTAACACTAGAGGAGGTGTTGGATTACACGTTTCCCACCGTGTTTTCTTAACACCTAAGATCTTGCAGAGTGAAGATGTAGAGTAGAACGAGGACTGTGATTGCTCGTACTTTACACAAAGTGCTATACTGAGCGAACGTCTTCATGATATAAGATGTAGGCCTTTTGCAATGCACACTCGTCAGTAACAAAATCCACAATACGGAGCGTATATACAGCCAAATCCTAAAAATAGCCTGTCTAAAATGTAGACCCAAAATTTAATTTGTGTTACGAGATACGATTTGGTCGTCTCAAGTGGCCTAGCCTGAGGGGGGTCAACTCAAGTGAACCTTTTAAGATTAATTCTTTCCTTGACTCCAAAGAAAATTGCAAGATTTATGAATGTTAATGTTGGATCTTCCTTGTTTCAGGAAATTGACAAGGCCAAAAATGTAATGGACGTCACTCTTGACTCTTGACGTTTCATGGATAAAAACTGTTTCAGTGGCCTGTAGTGAAAGCTCTTGAGAGTAGTGACAATCGGCACGATTTAAGATGGTTCAGATTGACGACTTGGACGGAAAAAAATAATTTGGATATGAGAGTCCTCGCCACGGGATTCATTCATGCATGTCACTTTCAATGTCGGTCAAAATTTGGTCTCACGCGACAGCTGCAGCGGGGGGGGGCCTAGATAAAAAAAAAGCCGCGCCAACATCCACGAGGACGCATCATACACAGAAGCAAAAATGAAACGGGGAAAAAAAACAAGGCGCGAAAAACTTGTGACTGCAGATGCTAGGAAGATAGAGCGCAATTACAATGTTGTCAGGAAGAAGGGGTAGCGGTGACCGCAGATGAAAGTAAGGTCAGGTTGTGCACCTAGGAACAGCGTTTGGTCAAGTCAAAGTATAAAACCTGACAAAATGTTGGATAATAGTCATGCCAGATGGAATTCACCTTGGTATCTCTCGTAGTTTGGTCTTTGGTGCGCATTCTTTTTGAAATGTTGCCACATTTTAGAAATCGAAAAGAAATTGTTGTATTGAATTGTTGAATTGGAAATCACGCAAAATCTAGGATTTTCGTACATGATGGAGCACAATAATGAAAACATGATGTAACGTGGGCCTGCATTAAAACTTAATTATGAATAATTTCATAAATCAAAATAACCTTTAAATCTAATTCAATGATCTAGATTGTCCAATTTGTGTGTAGTATTGTGAGACAAAATTCATAATGTACTGTCGCCCGTATTTCCCGATGCTTTTTCGCTGGAGGAACTGTAACAGACTTCCCAAAAATCTAGCACTCAAACAAACAAAAACGAAACAAACAAATCATGAAAAACACGTGATGCTGACAAAGTTCTCCTAAACCTCTTGATAGCCTTTTTGTTGGATTTTGTTTTTAGTTTGTTACGGCCCGACGATATTATTTGTACAGCGCTTCTTAATTTTATTTTTTTAGAATTTAATGATCATATCTACGCGAAAGGAATGAAAATTACCTTTTTCTCATCCAGTAGGCAGAAGTGCAGAAATACGGCCAATGAGACGAAGGCACACAAATTTTACGTAGGTTTTCTACACGAGGCGATTAATCAATGTTAGGCATCGTCTGTGTCGCCAAGGACGGCAGGTGGATTGGGGCAGGTGACAATCTGAAGTCCTAAACTCGGAGATGAGAAAAACGGGAGAGACCACCTTGCGATTTCTCGCGCCAATCGATCCGATGCCATGCGAGCGTGGTTGAGCAAACTCCAATGAGACAAGCAGGCTGGATCATTCCCTCTGCTTCTTCAAGGACTCCACTAAGATCAGCTCTGCCTCGTCGGCGTCGGATGCCAGACTCACTCGGCGTGAGGTGCTCCTGGTAAGGATGGGATAAAATGAACTGAAACGACGCCCAATGAGCGCCGTAGATCATGAAGGACACAATAGAGCTTTGAGGCTAAATTTGTACTAGTCGCTTAACAATCCTTGCTATTGTAGCCAGTTCAGAACTTCTTCGAAACTATAATACATATTCATGTATATTAGTCCGCGAATACGTTTCCTATTCACTAAATGAGAAATTGCTTACATTTCAGAACTTATGAATTTCCGTCTTTGAAAGATGGTTGTGTGCTTAAGGGTAAAAACTCGACTGACATTAGTCTACCCTCTTGGTATCCTTGTACATATACCGCCAACCAATGTAACCTAGCAGGCTGGCGCATTAGTGTAATCCTGCGCGTCTCATGGCACCTATTTCGTAAAATTTGGACGTAACTTGAAGCCCGTCGTTTTTGCAAGATGCCAAAATTTTGTCGGAGGAGCGATCCAGGGAAGAAAATGAACCTAATAGTAAGGCGGACCACTTGTGCATAATACTTTGTCCAATTTTGAGTTTGCAACAACGAAACCAGTATTCCGGGGGGAGGGGGCAACTAGGGGGAAACTTGCCCCCCTGACGGATTTTTGCCCATTTTTTCTTGTAGTACAGACGGTATATTTATTAATCAAATATTAGCATCAAAACCCTTCAAAACTCAGCAAAAATCCTCACGAGTTTTTCAGGTGCTCGAGACGTACATCAAATTAATGCCCGTTTTATGATTTTTTATTTTCTTTTCGAATTTCCATTCATTAACCGATGTCTGTTGATGATTTTTTTTTCAATAGAAGGTGACTCCTAAAAAGCAGTCGTGAAGCCCTTAGCCATTTTGAAAACTCAATGTCTAGACTTCTCGAAAAATAGATCGTTTTTAGACACCGATTTCTTCCAAATCTCACTCAGACACAAGCTGGCATACGTTTGGTCGCCTAAGCTTGTCTCTTCTACAAATCTTCAAGTTCATGGACCAATGATCTATTTCGTAGAGACTATTGCGGCCTACTGGCCTGCACCCAATAAGGGGCGGGAAATGCGCCCTCTTTTGGTTTCATTGCAGAATAAGGAACTCTTATTGGATAAATAGCGCCCTCGTTGGTGAACGCGTGACATTTCGTTTCGATGACATACGGTGTGAGGTATCGTTGTGTTGAAAAACAGCATTTTTGTCCCAAATCTGTGGAAGATATGCTGATTTCTTGGTAAGGAACTGCCCACGTGGTGTCATAGAGCCAAAGCAGATGTAAGTTTTGCTTGTGAAAGGACGTTGTGATGGGAGTAAGTTGATTTTAGCGCACCAGCTTCCCTTGCATGACATGTCATGCTGAGCCAAATAATGTTAGCCTTGTTACGCCCCAACTATAGTATCAGTCCCAACTATAGTTGGGCCCGTCCCAACTAGAGTGCTACAGTTGGGCCGGCCCAACTACAGCAGAGAGGTCCTGTGTGCATGATGTGCCCCGCATATTGTTTGCAAATGTCATGCCATTGGTCACAGAGCTAGATTAACAGATAAGCATGTGAAGTGCCACATTTTTGATGAATTGTGTCAAGTGTGGGACACATTGATTTGGATGATGTTGAGACATTTCCCACAGAAAATGGTCAACAATAGTTAGGCCAGCTCAACTGCAGCACTACAGTTGGGACTGTCCCAACTATACCGGTAGTTGGGACTTATGGTATAGTTGGGGCGTAACACCCTCAAAAGGCTCAAGTCGTCTGTGATTTGAGAGTGCCGTGTTAGGGGATGGGAGGGGCACGGAACAGGAACAGATAATGAGCAGTCAAATAAAAATAAATGAAACCGACAGAATGGATTATCATTCTACAGCATCATTTATTAACATCTTTAACGAAAGATTTTAGCATTCAGCATCCATTGTATTACTATTTGGGAGTTACATAAACGGAAAGACACCAACCAACAGCACTCAGCAGGCTGAACATGGCGACCTAGGCTGTGCCAACAAGTTTACAAAAGTGTGAAAAGAGGCCTTTCATTTTTCTATCGGGATTTTACTGACATAACTGAGGACGGTGGTTCAGTACTTAAGAGAAAGCAAGGGAACCATCTGTGACATGTCTGACTCCTTTTCATGTGGAACTGACCACCAATTTTGTTCCATTTTTGACAGAAGAAGGGAGTTATAATTCTCTAAATGGCAGTCGATAGTCGACCATTAGCATGGTTTTGCTACTGTACCAGCATGATAACCTGAACATGCACAGGTGGTTTCCACTTACTGAATTCCCCTTGAGCCCCAATTAGCATTATTAGGAAAGAAACTGAAATGTCCTGCAATGTCATCAATGTACTGCAGACATGGAAGAAATCAGTTTAAAAAAAAAAAGGGACAATTATGCCTCTTTACGGGACAGAAAAAAACAATTTAGAATGTCTCTGACAGATCTTAAACCCCTGTCGTGGCTTTCACCTTAAATTTAAAGTTTAAACAAACATAGTTTTGCTGTTTTCTCTCATTAGGCAGCCGTAAGCCATTGAAACTTTTCCAGGTTTCCAGTCTGTCAAGATGAGTCTCACTATTGAGCAAGTTTTGGACGATGCCAAGCGACTTGTTGACCGATTGCGAGATCACGACAATGCAGCCGACTCGCTGATCGAGCAATCAACGACACTCAACAAGCGCATTGAAGCCATGAAACAGGTGGGACAAATACAGTCAGCTCTCGGTAATACAAGCTCGGATAAGGCGAGACTCTGGTTTAGACGAGTATATTTGCTAGTCCCAGCTGAATTGTGCACATTCCTGTGAGGGATTGGATGTTACGAGGTTTCGGTTAAGACGTGCATTTTTTGTGCACCGGCTGAGTGCAAATCTATTTTTATCTATTTAGCACAAGCTTTCTTGAAGGCAATTTGTCATTCAGCCAGTCCATTCAATTTTGAAAGGTGCTTCTATAATTTGTGCTTATACAGTAGAACAGCACTGCGGTTTCCCTCACTGAATCAAGCCGTGGCAGTTTGTGGCAGCTCTCGAACCACCTGAAGCGAGTTCTGCCAAAAGTGCTACGATATTTAGGACAGTGCTGAACAAAAGAAATCTTTCGTTTGATTCCCTCACCCCCCAAAAATTCCCCAAGACCAAAGTCCCGCCAGGAAACTAATAAAATTTGTGTTCCGTAACCAAACACCCGGCTCAAAACACTGCCCATCTCCCATCATAAAAACGTTACCCGCTCCCCACCGTAATGTAAAAATATTGCCCCTTCTGATGTTGACATTTCTATAAATTCTCAGTTTAAGAAAATCATGACTAAACCGGGGTTTTCAGTCCAAAAATGTTTAAGAAAATAACATCCACAAGTTATGAAGAAAAAAGTGTATCCCTCGCTGATAATATTGCACCAAACCCACATGCCTTCCCAAAATGAAATCCGATATTCGCCCTCTGGTGTCCACACCACCAATAGCTGGTTTCCTCCCATTTTTATGTGCAACAAGCACAGTTTTGGCATGTGTGGTGTTGGTTACCAACTAAAACGTTACTGTACTTATGCTACGTGTGTACATGTGAATCTCATCACAGCATGCAGGGCCAGGGATGTGTGATACGGTATCGCTCCAAATTGACATGACTGGTGGAAATTCCACTTCCTATGTTCTTACATTTTATAATTATTCTTTATTACAAATCTTTATTCATTAAACTGTGTCTCACTTTCATAAACAAACTGTTGAAAATCAAATTCACATAACAAAATGTACGTTATGCAGTCGTGTACACATGTACGCTTTACCTATGGTCGATTGGTGATACATACATCGAGCAGGACGGCAGTTTTTGAGTAAGGCGAGGTCTGGATAATATGAGCTAATTTAGTGAGTCCCAAGGCCTTCGTATTAACGAGAGTCAACTCTACAAGGTGTTTTGTTTTACTTGTCACAATTTTTTCTCCACCTCTGCAAGTTCTTCGATAACTCAGCATTTACAAATAGCCTTTTGTGGCATCTATATCAGGTGGGTTTCTGTACAAACCTTCCAGAATCCTGCAAAAAATCCTCCACTGTGCAGGAAACCAGTGCCACATTCTTTGTACTTCAACTTTCGAGGGCCATTACGCCCCATGTAAACTAATGTAGTTGGCCTCTACCTTCCTCAATTTACAAAATCCCAAAACGTCCGGATAGATTTTGAACTATTGAAAGATCCACGAGGTGTACGGTTAACTATCTCAATCAACACTGACTAAAACGGGATTAGAACCAGCTACCTGCAAAACAGGGTACACGGTACTCTACCAACTGAGCCACCAAACCCTGTGTTGCTAGTTCATGCTAATTTGTCAGTATCTATGTACAAGGGATTTTGGTTGGATGCTGCTAAACTCGACATGCTCATGAGTCAAGCAATAGCAAGGATTAGGCATACTCCAAACCAGGTGCATAGTAACTATCGAGAACAAACAGCCAGGATGCCATGGTTAGTTAGGTTTGCTTTTGAATCAAAACAGTGAGCGAGTTAGGTATTTCGAAAAGGCCAGCTCATTTCATGTGAAATGGTATACGGCCGCGTCAACCCAGTGTGCAGCTATCGCTGTTTCCGTGTTGGGTGTTTCTTTTGGGGCATGCCCTGTTGGAATACCAAACTGGTTCATTTCAGTGAAAATGTACTTAGCCTGTCCTACTTCACCCCGAGACGTGAGCTAACAGCAGTCGTTTCTTCCCCTAACTTAGTACCAAGAGGACGTAGAGGAGATGAACAGTGTTGCTCGTCACCGACCTCGTTCTGCACTCATCCTGGGTATCCAGCAGGAGAACCGACAGATTAGGGAGCTCCAGCGTGAGAATCGGGAGCTGCGTGTCGCGCTAGAGGAACACCAGTCAGCATTGGACCTGATCATGAGCAGCTATCGGGAACAAGTGTGTCGTATGCTGATGGCCAATCGGTTTGACCGGGATTGCTTGGAGAAACATGCAGAGTATCGAGAGGTATATCTCCACCTTAATTCCTTCTCATCTTGGTAAAAAATCCTGTCTTTATAGTTTATCAGAGCTATCCCTTTTCCTATAATTTTCATGGGTGTGCAAAATGTTTGCTAGGAGTGGATAGATCTACTCTACACAGTTATCACACAACGTTTGTGCATTTATGTGACTCAACACAGCACACATATAAAGCCAGCGAGATTCGTAAGATTTCTTAGGCATCATTTCACAATTCCTATTGGTTGACTATAGGACAGAGCCATCTGACCGATAACAGTGACTTGTGTTGAGTGAATAACGGAGGGGGTGTTGCTGCACTGAAGCCACACAGCCTTGGGAGGAATGCAATAAAAAGGCATAATCAGTTAGAATTGGCCACTGGAGAACACTTAACCTGATAGCCAACCAATGATAAATGTATCGGTCGGACCGCTCTGTCCGACACCTACCCAATAAGAATTTTGAACTGGTGCCTTATTATTGAGTGTCAGGACATCCAAAAATCTCATATTGACTCAAATTTTAGTTTTGCATGGATTCGTCACTTGATCAAAACTGTGATAATCTCTAATGGTAAAGCTTACGATCTCAGAGATGGGCAGTGTTACAATATTTTGTTTCTTTATAGAACTCCATGGCGTCTACGGCAAAGATTATTGAGATGGCTGCTGTCATGAAGCAGGCCATTGAATTAGAAGAGAAATCATCGTTTAATATTGAGCAGCAGCTGACAAGATTACAGGTAAGACACTTAGGTCAAGTTTGGGCGGCCTGTTCTAGACACGGGCTTCTTGTTCTGGCACTCGAACAGCAGGAACACGACTCAAGAACACTGTTCAGGAACAGGATCACACCCTACCTCCTCGTCAGGGTTTTACAGGAACACACGGAAAAACTCGTGAGGTTTAGATTTTTGAACAGCTGCAAAAGTAGAGAGACGGCTTCCAAAGCCATAGACAATGGGAAGTTTTGCAAAATTAATATTATTTTCCGTAACACAGAAATGAATGTTCTTGTTTCTATAGAAAAAAATTCAGCCCATCCAAACATTAACTCGCGAATAACTTAGCCTACATGGACGCTGCCATGTTGAATGTTGCTTATTACTAACTACCAGTGATAACCGGTTGTTTGTTCCCGGCGTTCGAGCGGCCGACCCGCCGAACAACAAATCGAGCTGTTTGTGAACATACGGGAACAAGCCGCTCGAACTCGGCCTTAGGTAATGGGTCTGTGCATGCACCACAGAGGGCAGTGTTGTAGAGTGCATTGTATTGCACAGTTTCACAACATGCCCATCAAAATGATTGGATGCACGCTGAAAAATCTTTGAACTGTTTTATTTTCAGGTGGAGAATCGTGGTTTGCGCGAGCTGCTTGAGATCAGCCGAGCTGTCCACTTCCCCCACAGCCCCTCCAATCAAGAAGAAAAGAGAGATAAAGAGAAAGATCCCAAATCTACCATTGTCATCAACCGCGAAGGTGCCAATAACCTCTCTGAAAGTAAATCCCCACCACCAAAAAAAGACCAGTCGACCAAAACGAACAGTGGAACGGGTAGCGAAACATTGGCTAACGACTCTAAGGATGTTGGAAACACCAAGGCAAGACCTGTAGAACTCCAAGATGCAGATGAACAGGGGGTCTTCAAAAGAGATACGAGCAGTACGGGTACCGTGGGCGGAGATAAAAAAGGGGATGATGCTGCGCAAGGTGAGGGCGCTATTGATCTGGAGGTGGAGAATGTCCTCAATGATTTCGCGGACCTGACGGCCAGTTTGGATATTGACGAGGACGGGGAAGAGTCGGAGGCATAGTAATATCGCATGCTGACTGGTGAAGTCCCTGTGCGCACAAGCACGCCCTCAAGAGTGGCATTGAGGAGAGACCAGGCCCACACTTGTCATTTCCAGATGACAATCTGTCCTACTGTGACCTGTATGCATGCACATAGTTGTAACCATGCCTCGTCAGTCCTTATGGATGCTGTCACTAGGTAACAGTGTGCCCTCTGTTGGTCAGTGTAATAATGCGTAGAGCCAAAACTGCATTTGGTAAGAAAGATAAACACTAGCTATCAACAGACGTCATGTTGCATTGTCAAAGGGTATAACAGACTTATAAAAAATCAGGTGACTTGTTCTAGCGAAGTCCTCAGCATTGCTCTTTCAGGGTACAGTCCACTTTCTGAAACACAAACTAAATCTTTCTGGTCCATTATCTTTCAATTTCTTTTCAGTTTTTGTGGGTTAACCAATTATATTTTTATTCATTCCCACAAAACAAAATCACCCCAAAAAGTGATTTATCCAAATTCTGCTTGCAGCCATTTTTCAAGTGGCAACCCTCAACTTTCTCTGGCACTTAGGACCTTTTTCAACCGTACTTTTTAGCCATTTTGCTTTCATATGAAAGCCCAAAGACCCAGGGAGTTGATCCTGGCAAGGATTTACACAATCTCACCCTTTCGGTGGCAAAACAATCTCCTTCTTCTAAAGATACTGTGGGGGGTACTTTTAACCACTTGCCGCTGGGGGCTCTGGTAGCGGAGCCATAGGCCTTATATTCGTGGCCGGGGTCTCCGAACTCAGACAAAGGGAACAAGGCCCTGGAACAAAACACCATACTCCGAACAAAAGTCTAGGCTGCTGGGCATTACGGACATTTTTCACTCTCAAAAGTGGAGATAATCCAGCCTTGTTTTGAAACAATATACCTCGGTTTGGGGTGTTTAGAGCGAGTGGATTACCACCGGGGACAAAAGCTCTCCACCACTGCTGCAATAGAGGGATCCCAATACGACGCTTTTAGCGTCGATCTGCGCACTTCCGCGTTTGAAAACGAGGCTGTATGTGTTAGCTTCAATTCTGAATACGATCAAACGATTGAAAGTAAGGAGTCAAGACACAAAATATATAAAGGTATGTTAACTTC